TCCATTTACGAGCATACATATCAATGTATGCTCGTACAAAATCCTGTACAAAATTTTGGGAAATCTCAATTCGAGTTTCTATTATAGATCTATCTGTTCAATTTGCAGAATCAACGGTCCAGATCTTCAAGAACTAAACTCGCTTCTATCCAAAAATAATTATGGAAACATGGAATCTAGTACCTAACAATAAACATAAATAAGTACTAACAATCACAGTGTTAAACTTATCATCAGCCACCCGCCATTCATTAAACAAGCCCTTAATAACTATGTATCTGTGCGCAAAACTTAAAATTATGCTAGCTAACGGTGAAACCAGCCAGCCCGTCCCTAGTAAAATATGTACAGCATAATGACGATTTCTATCGACGAAGCGAGCCGATTAATCAGTGCTGTTCCTTGTAACATTAGTAGCATACCTTCATAGTTACTGCTAAGCCAATAGCCGTGAGAATGGTAAACACGTATATTGATTCCAATTGACCTTCAATAAACACCATTGTCATTTTTTACTGAACAAAATAAATAATAATTTTAAATTTTAGACAGATCCAACACTCTACGTGTTCTAAAAACTAGTTTCTATAAACTTAAAAAAAAAAGTTAACAATCTTAACAAATGTCTAATTACAGTAAGCAATTTATTCTTCAAACTGCTACGAAGCTATCTTTGTACTTTATCTATATTAGCATTAATACAACATTCCAACAGCAAGTATGTTAAGCAATTTGCGGAATCCAAGATTGCAAGTGAGAAAATCTCCAACAAGTTTGATTTCAGAATTTTAATTGCTCTGGAGATCGCAGGAAATGCTGGATATGTCCATTGTGCTTTAAATTGATCACATTCGTACTCCATAATTATTGTAAAACCAGTAAGCTCGGGGCTTAAGACAAATGTTCCACAGTCATTACTATCTTCATATATGTCTTGTACGGTATCTTACAAATTAGATTCCACTCCTTGGGCATCTAAATCTTCACTCGGTAACAAATTGTACCATTTGCAACTCCCATACAAGAGAGAGGCTGGAGTAATCAGCTGTACATTGTCAAATTACAAGATATGGTATCATAGGGCACTACTGCCAGGCCTATCGAAAGCTTAAGAGAAATCCGTAAAGATTACAATGTGATCCGTATCATTGAGAACTTCCCATCATGAATCATTGATGTTTTCTACGAGATCTGTTCTTAGTAGAACAATTAGAGGGTATGGGCTATCGCGATGGCCCGCCTCATAAACATCTCATTAGGTTAGGTTACCACAATTATCGTCTTTCAACCTGTTGCTACAAGCTCCTGTGTATGTATGTGACCTTATGTCAAATTAACTACGTATGCAATAACATGCAAATTGGTCGTTTCAGTTTGTCTGTCCTTTAGTATTTATGAGGTGGTTTGATAGAAATGTGATGTCACTAAGTTATGGAAATATGGACTCGCGTAGTTGGATGTAAATAGAACTTCAGTTAGAATTTGAAATGTTATTAGTTTTAAATTAAGTTCTGCTCGTGATTTACCGTAGAAAACTATTCAAAGTTAATCAACATCTGAGGATATCTATTCAAATCTAAATCAAACAAATAAATATTTATAGATTCGAAAATTGGTCGAGTGAATAATGGACATAATTAGTCACAGACAACGAGTTCAACTACGTACGAAAGCTTTCTATCACTGCTATAGAGGCTCCAAATCAAAACAATGCCAGACTTATCAAGTCATCAACCATCATTAGCAATTCAGATAGACATGAAACTGTACCAGTACTTAACGACGCAGGCATCGAACCAACATAAGTAGTAGTTGCACCAATATTAAATTCATGCCTTCACATTACATCACATTGCAAACAAAGTACACGACAGGAGCCAGGGCGCATAACTAGTATAAAACAAACAGTATTTATGAATGTCTGCGACGGATAATACGCCTCTAAATTGTGTCTAATGGCTACCAGTTTATATGGAATTAATATTGTGTATCTGATACATGGTGCCTTTGATTTAATATAACCAGTAGAGGAAACATTTAATATTAATAGAGAAAGTTGTTTGCTGTTTACATGTTTTGTTTTCGAGATTTTTTAGATTGAGAGGACATAACATAACATCATGCCTTTTTATCCCCGAAGAGGAGGCAGAGGTGCACATTACAGCACTTAATGTTACTGTATGTACAATGTAACACCCAATTTTCACTATTTATGTTATGAGGCCCATGTAATAGGGGGTGAGTATACTGTCATATACCGGGCACAATTCCAGCCTAGTGCTAGTACTAAGATTTTTTTTAAAAGCCAGTACTACTTTACCCGACATAAGAATTGAACCCGAGACCTCTTGCCCGGCAGTCGCACTTGCGGCCACTCGGCCAACGAGAATTCAATGATTGAGAGGAAAAGTTATGAAATTACTTCGGAGTTGGAGGAGGGGGAGTTTTCTGTGTTAGTAGTAAGTAGTAACTCACGTTGAGTGGTTTTCTTTTTCGAAGTGGTCATAAAACAGGACACAAGAATAGAACTATCGTTTTCCTCATAGGGGTCCGTTGTTTCCTCAACTATTCGCCTAGTTTGTTTCAGTCTTTAATATACGATAAGAAAGATCACTTTTCGTTTCCAATCACTATCATCTTAGGACATAATTTGAAGGGAGTATCTGACTCAGTATAATTATTACCCTGGCGTCCAGACGTCCTTCATATTATGAATATCCGATTTTGCTTTATGTCTCTAAAATTACCTCTAATATTTTTAAACCTCAAAATGCACCTCATTTTAGTCCCACACAGCTTTCTTCTAACAATAATCTACTTCATTTACTAACTTGTTTGTTATCCTAAATCCCACTGCTAACGGCGCCTAGTTCCATGAATCACTGCATTGCCCAAACACCGCCAAACGCCAAAAAAATACCCCTTTCCTGACATAAATTGTTTGAACATGCATTTACTTCATCCATTTGAATTTATAACTCCTTTCTAAGGTGTTACCGTGAATTTATCGCTATATTTGTGACAAAACGACTATTAGTTTAGGGGTTGGTTTATAACAACCCTGATTTATTGCGGCGATAAGAGAATTATTTGTTCAAAGATTTAGAGTTTCGCTTCGAGGGGTGCTGTTTTTCAATCGTTTGAGTTGCAGAGGTCACAAGCGTCTTAAGCTTAACAATGATCTGTATACTCAAATGCGTACTTGTATGATTTAATTGCACACAATTTAGACTTGTTTAATTTTATAATATGTGACTTCTTCGTTAGTTGAGTTGACAATGCTGTAGTGTATTATGCTTAGTATAATCTAGTCTTAGGATATCTAAATGTGTTATTTCAATTCCTTGTCGTCACTAGGTAATGTTGTTACATCCGCTATTGCAATTTAAACTAATAATATAACTATGTAAAACTTTAATTTACTACACAAAAACATGAACATTCTCAGCTACCAACAAATTTGTCAATAGTACTCAAGAGTAATCCTTCTTCAGACCAACTACTGAAAATGTATTATATAAATCCCATTATTTCCTGCTGCGACTTGTCTAAACAAACACTAATGATAGAATACCACCAGCATCAGCACTCAATCCGAAACGACTGCATTAAAATAGATAATACTCTGTCACATCACACAGTGCTATTGTCACAATTTTGTGATGGAAATAACGTGGCCAGTGTAGCTTGAACTACGGTGGGATATGGAACTTTAGTTAATGTATGGAGTTTGCTGTAGATAAGGAACGATTTGAATTTGAAAAAGTTTTTATTGGTAAACTGCAATCAACTGGTTTAGTGTTTTAATCGCCAAATTATCAAATATCGAGTACCTATTATATTTGTATTCGTTGCGTCTTTGATTCCACAAAGAGGAAAACTAAAGTTTGTAGTAGGTTACGCATCCCCCTTATTTATAGTATTTTTATTGTTCCAAAGTTCGTGCTGTTGCTGAAAATATAAAAAAAATGGCCTAAAATCCCTTCGCCAACGTTCTTGTATTCATTTTACAGCGCCATTGTCACGGTTCAATTTATATTGGTCGCTTAGTGTGAGCCGAACAAAAATAGTGACGCCAAATTTAGCAAATGTCCTCCACATTAGTTTTCGCCTTAACCGAAAATATTATTTTAAGCGCAAACGAGCGAGGGAAAATACTTTTGTTCCGCGTATCTTGTTACTAGTTTCCACTTCATTTATTTATGGAATTCTTAGCTTTGGCTTTTGATTGTGTTGTTATTCGTATTGTTCAGACTAGCGAGTATTCTGTCTCTGACTAAATCGCAGATTTTGACTATAACAATCGCGATTGTTAAAGGACAAAGATCTTGTTTTCGAGGGTCTTATCACACGGTGCTTAAAAATGCCTGCAATATTTTAGAATGTTATTTTACCAAAAGGTATTTATTAGCTGCATTATATCTATGGCACACAGCTACTATCTGTCACGTGGTCTACCGATAATACTTAGTGACCCAACCAACATAAGCACAATTCTAAAAAACAAACGATTATTAATCGCACGTCTACACTCCAAGTTCATAGATGAAAATAAAATGTATCGATTGATTGATATCAACAAGGAGTGCATCGACCCGCCCTACGATACAAACCGAACACATTACTCACTCACCGACTGTGCCAAAACACGGAACTGATAGATTCCATCGATGTTTTCCTACCAGTTATTAATACTCTGTAGTTACACCTATAGTTAATATTATCTTATAAATACTAGGGCAGGGTCTATTCGTATACAATCTCATTATAGGGCAAAGCTCTCGCAAAAAAAGTAACATTCTTCTATCACAAGATATTATGAATTGTAAGAATATATGAGGAAGATGTTTAAGGGATAAGTGCACTCCTAATTCCCTTCCACCGTAATTCCTGTAGAGAGTATAAAAATCTAAAGATCAACTAAAGATACACTGAATCAATGAAAGCTAAAGTGTCCCAGGGACTTGAGTTGTTTTGGCATACACTACAAAATTATTGTCATAAACAGTATTTAATATTATAGTAACCGAAGAAATTGAAAGTAATAATATCGAAAATTGCCTATTTAGTAACATTGAAACATAAATTAATTTTCTTAATTGAAGTGCTCAATTTTCGGTGTATAAAAAACTGGATTCTGATTCACCTATTTATTGATAATAATTCAAACTTTCTGACCAAAATTTTTCTTCCTTCTGCAGCCGGATGAGCTTGCCAAGTCGGTGAAGCTGACATCTCGAGAGAGGCGGTTCATCAAGTTTGCGAGCGTCGAGTATGGAGGACAGCTGTACATGACGCCACAGGACTTCTTGGAGTCTGTGGTGGAACAGGAGCCTAGACGTAAGTGGGCTAGGTCTTGAGAGGCTTCTTTTGAAACACTATTATATCTCTGTAATTCCCAAAGCTGCATCTGGTGTAAATGGTAACTAGTGTCGAGTTTGTTACCTAAGTCGGACAAAATATTATGGGTGGTTTTTCTCAGTGACAGCATTAAAATTCGTATTTTTTTTTTTTTTTTGGAATAATCCGGTAAACTAAGCTAGCAAACAGATCATCTGGTGGTAAGCAATCGGCGCCACCCATGGACACCTGAAACACAAACACCAGAGGCGTTACAAGCGTGCTACCGCCCTTTTGGAAATTGGGAGTTTGAAAAGTCTCACACGACGATTATTGAATTTTATAGTCCTTCCAATAATTTACTTCACAGCTCGGCTAAAACGTCGTGTGCTGACCACGAAGGAGATAGAACATCTGCGCGACAACACGCCGGCCCTCAAGAAGGGGTCCTCGCAGATGTTCCGCAACATGAGGGACAAAGGTACGCAAATTCACTTCCTATGTATTATAAACAAAATTGATTTTGTCTATTACGTACACACGGCTACACATCGAGCTTTACATAACCAGTATAAACTGAACGTTAAATGTGCGGAAAGATGATGCGACGCGACACCAGGATAAACTGGTTTTGTATAGATGGATGTGTGGCCGTGTGTACCTAATTAGACAAAGAGTGATAAGTTGTGTCTTTGAGGAAAATTAATAGAAAAGATTACTTAGAAAACGAACGTTTAATTATATTATTTTATTTCTTAATTAATCTGTCTGTCTGAGACTTTTTAATATTATTTTAATCTAGCGACCCGCCTCGGCTTCGCACGGGTGCAATATGCATGTATTATACATATAAACTTTCCTTAAGAATCACTCTATCTATAAAAAAACCGCATCAAAATCTGTTGCGTAGTTTTAAAGATCTAAGCATACATAGGGACAGATAGACGGCGGATAGCGACTTTGTTTTATCCTATGTAGTGAACGTAAGGTGAAAAAATAATAATAAAAAGGTTTTATTGACTACAAGACGTTGACCTCAGTGCATATTCTTGTTCCAATATTGTAGTAATATAAATTCAATATTTCCAGGAATCATCTCTTACACCGAGTATCTGTTCCTACTCTCAATTCTGACGAGTAAGTATTGCATTCAAAACAACTTCACATGTTTAGAAATTCATGGACCACTTCTAATGTTCTAAAACACAGATTTGTAAAGACCACTTGAAAATCGACCCTTTGCATTCAAACGAAAATTTAATATTGCGTACATTTTGAATTTTGGGACGACATACAAAACCGCTGCCAGATGCTGATCAATCTTTTTCTAAAATTAAATATTAAATTTTTTTTAGATTTTTTTAAGGGGGGAAAAATCATCGAATGTCTGCTCCCGCCTGGGTGAGGCGAGAGGGAGTGTCAGACTCTTACTGACTAAAAACCACCCCGTTCCTTCTCCTGCACGTCGAGCCGGAGACCGGGTAATTCGGTAGGTTCTCCGCGACTCCGAATCGGCATGCGAAATCGAAATGCGAAATCGGCCCCATCCAAAAACTTACGATTTGAATACAAAACCTTGTTCCATGATGTTTACAAAACTATCATTAGTTGTGCACACGTCTGTGAAGTATCTGTATCACGTAATTTCGTATTTCAGAGCCGGCTTCAGGTTTCCGCATCGCGTTCAATATGTTCGATACGGACGGTAACCAGCGGGTTGATAAAAACGAGTTCTTAGTCGTGAGTATACTTCTATTTGTGTGTACGGTGCCAATGATAGCGGGGAGCTAATTTTGTTTTGTAGTACCTACTAGCTTTTTACTTGCAGCTTCATCTACGGTACTGAAGTCTTTAAGTTTACGTTGACAATCATTCTATGTTTCTATTGCACACATATTATGTGTTTAGTATATTTTGAGGTTAACAGAAAGATTGGCAAGTGACGTTGTATTGCCGCAAGAGCTAAGGTAACAATTAATAAAAAAATACGAGTTTTACGATTCTTGAGTAAGGAGTCTAGCGATCAATTGCTATGTTTGGTAATGGTAGTAGGTATTGGGTTTTCGATGATCGAAAATAGCTGGGAGAATTGTACCCAGTAACTGTATGGCAGAAAACTTGCCAGATTTTATTTGGAACTCAAATTATACTGTGTAGTACTTTATATCATCACCATTTTCAGTTAAAAGATTATGTATTTACTGCGGAACAAAAGAGTTCTTTCAGTCATTCGCACTAAGAACTGAAATCGTTCTTTTTTAAATGATCGCTCTCCGCCATCACTGGCACCCCTCGTAGATATAGAATAAAAATAGCACGAGTTGAATTAGGCATAGCACATAGTGTTTAGATTATAACAGCGTAGAGGAAACCCCGAAGATTTGTTAAGGCGAACAAGATATTGTTTAAACTTATGTCTGAACCGTAACTAACAAAATATCTGGTGGTGGAATGCCCGGGAAAAGCATATAAGTTTATTTTCATATAGCAAATTGAGCTTTATTGCAACTGTGGAGGACATATTTTCGCTACAACAAGTCTTGTATAAAATTCACATTGTTGTCTCGATTCGGCTCAAAAAATATTGTTTTTGAGACATACTTGTGAATGGGACTAAGATTGAGACTAATATAGTGAAATTAGCATATTTAAAATGTTTGTTGTAGATACTAGAAAAGCATGCTTTATGCAACAAAGAGCCAAGTAAAAATTACATTTATTTTTTATTTTTTCTTAGTTTTTTTTTAGTTTTTGAATGTTTTTTTCTGCCGTGTATTTATTTAGATCCAACGCCTGCTGGGTGGTACATTTAAGGAGCGTAAAAATTTGGACCCGAAGAGCCAAGAGGCAGTGAGTTGATAAATAACAGCTTGTGGAAGGGACGCCTCGCTATCACAAATGTTTTTGGTTGAAATTTTGATTCTGATTTCCAAATATTTATAATAAACATCAAGTAGAGTGAACTGATAAAAGTGTTTTTACTTTTTTGCGACAATTTTTTTTATACTTAATCGACGAGCTTAGTATAAATGTATGTTTAATGTTTAATACTCGTCCGTCTTACCTTTATTTAATGCCTAGTATCAGTATCAAATATGCTGAAAATTGCAACATTTTTATTATAAGTAAGAATTATTTAACTTTAGAATCAAAATTTCAACCATCTTGAAACAAAAGGTTAATAATGCCGCTCTAATGTGTGTAGTTTTTTTTACATAATCTTGTGTTTAACTGGAATTGGGACGGAAACAAATTAACTAAAAAAACTCCCAATTACTCTAAAATTACGATTTACTTGTGACATTTAATTTAATTATAAACGATGACTAAAACGTAAACGTTTTTCTGATTTTTCTATTTTGTATTTCTGTATAAAATTTTGATTTTTTTTCGATTGAATTCACCCGAGCGGCATAACGGTGTTCACGCTTTTTTAATTTTTTCTTTATGTTTATTTTTTTGTGTAAAAATATACGTTTAAACAAGTATATGTAAATAATATTAATATGATATTTATGTGTGTATTATATGCTCATTAGCTGCTTACCTTAGTGTCGACAAGCGCAATGAAGAACAGGGCCAGTCATGAAGTCCCGAGTTCGTCCACCGTAAGTGACAAGTGGACAACGCTTATGTCCGTCCGTTTTATCATGGTCGTCGCGTTTTTATTGGATTTATTATGTAATCAGACCCGACTATATACATTTTCATATTTGCGCAATAGTTTTCATGGAGTATTATAACATTTTAGAGAAAAATTCAATAAATTACCTATTATTGTTTTTGGTTTTACTCACATAACTGTTCTACAGACCCCGCGTCATGTATCCCGGACTGCAAAAGATTATGAGCCCAGGATGTGGCTTGAAACTAGTCAAGTATCTCGTCAAACAGTTACATAAGTGAGCAAAAAACCATGATAATTAGTTTTCGTGGTTGCGCAAAACATTTAGCGCTAGTGTATAAGTTTGCGCAAAGTTGCGCAAGTAGATTTTGTGTTTGGTCGGGTTTGTTCTTTTATGGTCATATTTGTGGATTAAACAATGTGTAGTGGGCATGGGATATGCCCTATAATTGTATAGAAATACTTTTGCTTCATATTTGTTTGTGTTATTAGAAAATAATTCTTTAAATTGTTCGCTTTTGCGTTAAATACGTTGTGCTTTATGTTGTGAATAATATTAATTAGTTTTAGTATAACGTTTTAATTGTAATTATAATCAATCGCAATAATTTTCTGTAATATTGTTACTAATTTTTTGTTACTCAAAACTTGATGATAATTATTTTTAAGATTCGCACGTATATTTTCTTAATACATATGTACTTCAATGAAAATTGTAACTAATCTCTGTTGGTTTTTAAATGTTTTATGCGTCAGTATAAACTGTACATGGCAAGTAACACTTAACAAACACACGCTTCGGCAAAACACACCCTAAAGAACTTTCCAATAAGGTAGAAAATCTGATGGCAACTGTTTACCTATATGATGGGGGTGTTATTGCAATATTATAGACGATTTTAAAAACTAATCTGATTGCGATAATCTCTTTTTACTCTACACTACAAAATTTAACACGTTTTTACTTTTCTAGTACTATTCACTCATTTTCTACCCTTTATATCTCTCGCTTTTAATATTTTTTTACAAGCATACAACAACACAAAGCCATCATCTACTTTTCTATTCTATAATTATTCTCTTTTTTGCTCTTTAATTATTACCTACTTCTATATTTCTCACTTCAATATCTTTTTAATTCAAAATATTAAATTGAATGCCATTAACGTTTCATAACATGCAACACAACATCTTCTCTTTGTATATTTCTTCCTTTTTCTTTATATTTTTACTTCTTTATAACTCTCTACTCTCCATCTAACCTTTAATAACAATATACTTAACAACACACACACATACACTAAAATCTGTATTTTCTCTTTTTATACTTTTACACAAAGCTACTTCTTACTCTACTTTTCTAAGCAGTCAGTCAAAACTAAATTCTTTAACTCACCATCTTCTTAAAATGGTTTCAGATGGAGAAGATCTTCAGTTTCGCGTGGCGTGGCAAGAGAGGGATGACGGATGAAGAAAATAAGAACGAAGCGCCAGTGGATGACAAAGCGGATGTTAAAGCGGATGGTAAAGGGGATGGTAAAGCGCATGAAAACTACGTGAATGATGATCAGGGACTGCAGAGGAGGCACAATGTTGATACTTTTCTGCAGGTAAAGTAAATTGAAAGTTATTTTATAGGCTTTTGAAAACATTTTTAATTAGTAATAGGTATGGTGTCAGTTTCTGACAGTTCTTTCTTAGTAATAACGGATATGTATGTTTAAAGAATATTTATTTTATTTATCTATTTCTTATATCAATGTTTTGTGATTATTTTTTTCTTGAATGGTATCCGAACAATTTGTATGAATAATGACTTGTTATAAATATTTTATTGATAAAATATTCCCATCGACTTTTTTATTGAAATCATGAAATATATCAATTCCAGGTGCATTTCTTCGGCAAGAAAGGTACGAACGACCTGAAGTTCGAGGGTTTCAGACAGTTCATGGAGAACCTGCAGACCGAGGTGCTGGAGCTGGAATTCCATGAGTTTGCTAAAGGTATGTTTATTCATTTTTCTCCTAAATTTTTAACCTGCAAATGTTAAATTATTGGTTTATTTCCATTTACTTATATGTCTCGCCTTTAATTTACCAAACCGATTAGCCAGAGGCAGAGCCGTATCTCTAAGGCAACTAGGGAAGTGCCTTTTTTTTAAGTGGAGAAAATCATCGAATGTCTGCTCCCGCCTGGCTGAGGCGAGAGGAAGTGTCAGAGTCTTACTGACTAAACACCACCCCGTTCCTTCTCCTGCACGTCGAGTCGGAGCCCAGGTTCTAGGGCGTCAAGTAACAAAGGGGCGCCGCGAACCTCGCAACAAAAACATTTCTTTAAAGAGTAACGATGGAGTTGATTGCTCGTTCCACTCCATTCGGAACTTTGGAACAACTTTCCACACTTTGGAACAAGCACCTAACTTCACTGACAATTCAATTTGTCGTTTTAAAAGTGCCTAATCAACTACTAATTGGGTACTTGATAACACAGACAGTTTTCTATGAATTTTGCACGAGATTGTGTATTGTGACGTCACGTTTATTTAGAGCCAAACAACGTACTTATTTCTTAAAAATTTGCTGGAAAAATACTAAAATTAAGTTGTTTTCGTTCTAACCTAAGTTTAGCTAATTTAGCTTTTAAGAACAGTTGTCGAGATTCGGAAACAATTTTATTTTACCTAATACGGACGTCGAAGTCGACGCGAAATCCCTAGCTCAGTAGCCGATGACGAGACTGTCAATTAAATTAAACACCTGACAATTAAAATTGCAATGTATCTTCTATTTGTTTATTAATAAATCGTTGCTTGGTTCTTGCTCCTACCATTTACTCTTCTCTGCATCACCCAAAGGTCAGACTGAGAAAAATGGCCGCGGCTTTAAGTCCACCTAATGCACATTTCGTTTATGAAGCGTCAAAAAATTCCAGGTCACGAGACGATATCCGAGGTGGACTTCGCGAAGATCCTCCTTCGCTACACCTACCTGGACACGGACGAGTATGACATGTATCTGGATCGTCTGCTGGACCGAGTCAAGTATGAGCACGGCATCACCTTCGAGGAGTTCAAGACCTTCTGCCAGTTCCTAAACAATCTGGAGGACTTTACTATAGCTATGAGAATGTATACCCTCGCTGATCATCCGATTTCTAAAGGTTTGGGGATTTTGTATTAAGTACCTAATAAGTATCGCTAAACATTAAAGTGAGAGAAAAAAAAGTTAATAAACAACAAAGTTAATTGGAATATATGTTACTCACGTGAAGCTCAACTAGTTTCAAGTCACTCACTTAAGAGTCCCACTCTTATACTTACACTAGCTACTTCCGTGCGGTTTCACTCGCTCTGCTCGGCGCCTATTAATCGTAGCGTGATGTTTTATATCATATGGCCTTACTCGATAAATGGGCTATCCAACACAAAAAGAAGTATTCAAATCGGACCAGTAGTTTCGGAGATTAGCGCGTTCAAACAAACAAACAAAAAAACAAACTCTTCAGCTTTATAATATTAGTATCGATGATCAATTCGCGACGCGTAGCCAACTTAATTAATAATTATTTTACTTTATTATTTTTATTGGACTATACGATTGGCATAGTGACTCGATTCCTGCAATGATGTGCTCTTGTATGTGAAAGTGCTTGTAAAATACCACACCTACCACATGAACCAGTTTCAGGAGCCTTTTCAAACAGTTATCTTGCTATGTTTTTATAATAACTATCGTCAGATATACTAATTAAATTAAAAATTGTGGGCTACTCACGTGAATATACTGAGAAAAGCTCTACTAGTTTCGAACCACAGAGGGGTTCTTCCTCATAGCAGCGGTCGCGGCGATGTCGCGCAGCCTACTGTAATCGAAACTAGTAGAGCTTTTCTCAGTATATTCACGTGAGTAACCCACGATATTTAGTTAATTTGGTTGTCTTGCTTTTTTGACAACATTAAATTGAAATACAGACAATCCACCTTGAATTTCCCAAAAGGAATAACTTAAAAAACTGATAATTATGTAATTATTATTATTCCCAGACGAGTTCCACCGCGCCGTAAAGATCTGCACGGGAATATCTCAGTCGGAACACCTGGTTACAACTGTGTTTGCGATATTCGACGCTGATGGAGACGGCCTGCTCAGCTACAAGGAGTTCATCGCCATCATGAAGGATCGACTCCATAGAGGATTCAAGGTCAGTTTTAAAAAAGAAATAGGTGATTTTGTAGGTTTGAATTTATTGTTGAATTTTGAACTGTATTGTTATAATGTTAAGGCATGTTTTTGTTTGTCGCGCAAAATAGTTTTTTTTTTTTGTCACACCGGCTGTAGCTTGTCGGTAAATCATGAAGTTTATGTTTATATTAAAAAGCAAAAATAAAAAATATAAGGAAAATGTAATTATTTACGTTTTTATGCAATAATAATTATTTATATTTAATGTAATTTGAATAGCGTAAATAGCCTACTATAAATTCTTATTCAGTTTCTATTTTCTAATTAGATAATACTTCAAATCGGATATACCATTATTAATAAAATTAAAATAAAATATTAAGTACTTAATAAGTACATGAAATAATATTTTTATTACGTACTGAAAAGAGTTAGCCAAAATATTAAATTAAAATAGAACAAAAAGTGATCCGCGACCCTGCCAGGATTCGAACCTGGAATCTTCTGATCCGTAGTCAGACGCGTTATCCATTGCGCCACAGGGCCAGTCGGTATGAATGTCGAAATACGTAATCAGATTGTTTGAAATAAGGAATCTATATTTTTTTTAAATACTTTTTTATTTTTTCTTTCTTTAATACTATTCGCAATGAGGTGGTAGTTCCATAGTATTTTAAGTTTATCCCAATTTATAATGTTTTATACTTCTCTGAATTTATGATGGGTATTTTTATAGAAAAAACAGTGTTACTTAAATTAATAATAATTATTATTATATTAGTTTAGAATACACACACATAGATAGGTACGTGAAAAATCATACCTTTCTGAATTACGACTTATTAATATTTTATTTTATGTGAACATAAAGTTAGCCTGCCCTAATTAATATTATGTTAGTTTGTAAATTCCTACTAATGACTGCCTCGTTGGCCAAGTAGTCGCAAGTGCGACTGCCGAACAAGGGGTCTCGGGTTCGATTCCCGGGTCGGGCAAAATATTACTGGGTTTTTAAAAAATTCTCAGTAGTATCACGGAGTATATAATTGTGCCCGGTATATGGCAATAGGCTCACCCCCTATTACATGGGACTCATAACATGAATAGTGAAAAGTGGGTGTTACATTGTACAGTGGCGTAATGTGCACCTTTGCCTATCCCTTCGGGGACAAAAGGCGTGATGTTACGTTATGTTTATTCCTACTAATATATTTTTTATATTTATTTTCAGTCATATGCCAAGAACGAAGGTTGGGAGGCGTTCAAATCTTGTGTCAAACAAGAAATGAAGAGTGCGGTGTAATGTCATCTCTTTCTAACACATGATTCACGTAACGTTCGAGAGAGACAACGATATGTCATATTAGTTGCGTTTTGTTGCCATATTTAAAAACGATTATTCGATCTCATCGTTATTTCTCACTAGTTTTTTAAATATTTTTAATAGTTGCAATATTTTTTTGTTTATATGTAGATTTTTCTTTTTTAAGAGAAATTGGTTTTATATTTACTGATATACAACAAGTATTAGATGGATGGAAAGGATAGTATACATTTTAAGCTTTATCGCAAAGGAAATAAAGTGGAAAATTTATTAAAGAAAGAAATTCACGAATTACCGTCCGTGTTGTTTTAATCCATCTAAAGCTTGTTGTCTGTCAATTGGAATATTATTTTTAAAAATAACTTCAATAAATCAATTTTCCTTTTTGCTATGTTTTCTAAAAAATCTTAGACGTATCATAGATACGACTATGAATCGTATCAAAGATCATATACGTTTTATTTTCAAACTACAAATAAACAAAATCTATTGCAATGAAATTATTAGCTCAAATTTTAAAACACTTCGTAATTGATGTCTATCACGCTGCCTTTATTATGGCCTAAGATTTATAATCATGCCATTTGTGACTAAAACATCTTGTCAAAATAGGTACTACTTACTACGTGTACAGGCGCCAGCATATCAGGTCACCCTAAAATGAAACCTTTAAAACGCAAACTTTAAGACCTTTGAGCAAAAAGACTTTTTGAGGGGAAAATCATACAATTACCTCTACCGCCCGGGTGAGGCGAGAGTGTCAGACTCTTACTGACTAAAAACCACCCCGTTCCTACTCCTGCACTTCGAGCCGGAGCCCCGGCAACCTGTTAAGTCCTCCGCGACTCCGTTTTGTCATCACCCCTATCGGCGTGTTATCTGTGGTGGTCTGATGGCTCTTTCAGACGCGCATGTAACGCGACGCGCCTTACGTTTTGGAAGAAGAAAGACTTAGGAGTTAGGTCCTGTAGGGTCTACAGGTCCTCAAATCAACCCAGTTATGGGGACACCCCCACATCCTCTTGTCTGTTAAAACACCGGCTCCCGGTATAAACATATTATAGCCGCAACTGTAAATTGACAAGAGGATATAAACTCTTAGGGTAACTCGATATGCTGGCGTGTAATACATTATTAAATTATTATGTAAATACAATATTAAATATCTAACATTTACTAACAAATCCTCCAAAGTGTTACAACGGGTAGTTAGATAGTTCTGTAGTTATTGATCCTCCACGTAATGATCCTAAAGATATCTTCAATTCTTTCCCTAAAGGCCTTTTAAATATCCTGAAAAGAGAAGAAAGAAAAAGTCTAAAAAGATTGCTAGAAATAAGAAATAAAGAAAAGAAGTTAATCCTGTCTCCCTTCCTTTTCTCCTACAAGTGCTACCTCGGACCAGGATCGTGGAAGTCAATATCTCGTGCTCATATACTTATCTACTAATTTTTAAGAAACAGGCTGTTGAATAGCCAGAGCCGTATTATCTCAAATAAACTAGGCAAGTGGTGCCGCGTGACGCGCGTGCCCATAGATTAGCGACGACGCCAAAAACAATAGGGTAGTTTCCTAAATTTTATTTTAATGTACGTCTGGTAGATTAACTTAAAACATTACACACGTATTTTTTCTTTTCTCACAAAATTAAAAATAGTTTCTACTATATTGTATTGATTCGAAATATCGTGTGACGTCACAACTTGCCACATTTTGTAGCACTTTGTGACGTAACGACCTCACACTCCTAACTTTACGCCATTTTATCTCAGTATTGTAACTTTATACGAGTAAAAAAATACGTGTCTAATATTTTTTCATTATCTAACTGACGGACTAACTAGATTTTTAATTTTTATACCCTGGCAACTACCCTGGCAAGGGTGCTTAAAAAATGCTTATCTAGAACGCTGTCTAGGTTTGATCCGGCTCTGTAGATATCTCTATTTATTTCTTTTGTTTATATTAACTTGAGTCCCAAACATTGCGATAAAATTCAGTCGCTAAGTCAGAAATCCTATTATTAAATCTTCAACTTTGTGCGTAAAGAATAAGATTGAAATTAATGTAATTTACGACTTATGGGTTTTGTAATCAATGTCGAGACTCTAGACAAGAATGATTTCATCGTCCATATTATTAAGTTTGATTATTGCTCGCACATTTATTAATATTGTACTAAAGTAAGTGTTATATGGTTGTCAACAGTGAGATTATTTATTTATTTATGAATAACTAATAATGTATTGTGTTGCAATAATAATTATGTTAATTGAGCTTAAATATATTAATGTTTTCGTTATTTTCATCTCATATGAAAATGGTTCGAATTTTTTGATTCTGTGAAGCGAGATTTTCTATTTGTTAGCCTAACTGTAGTTATAAGCAATAATAATTATTATTATACCTCATTTTGGGTGTCTTGCTTTACAAATATTCGTGAATTACATAAAATAATTATATTTGTTATTTATTCATTTTAATATTATAAGCTTTCATCGTAAAATTTCTCTTGAATTGCTTTTATAAAAATAAGCTTTCTTTGTTAGATTTGTAATGATTAAATCAAACATTTGTTATAATTATCTTACTTATGGACGCCAGCAGCAGGATACAAGGGTGTGCGTTGCCCCTTCCTCCCCACGCCCAGAGAGTGTATTTTCTAAATTATGGATATGAAGAGAATGACCTTGGCCTGAATTAGACCTATTTGTAAAATCTCAATCATATTTTGACCAATAAAATTGTTCTTACTCCAAGTTGTCTAACTTTAAAGTCTTGAAATATCTCAGAAACTAGTTGTATTACAGAAATACTAACGAAATTTTCGAATCATTATGAAAGGTCGGGTGTTGTTTTTGACCGTAACAAAATTGGTAAATATCTCAAAAAAAACCTTCCTGAAGAATTACTCTATCTACTGCTCTATATAAAAATCTGTTTAGTAGTTTTTGCGGGAAGACAAAATGAAGTTTTAGGCATAAAATACAACAGAACGAATTTTCAAACACACCCAATAAAGATGTATTTTCTGATGGATGGATAGGGTGGGAATGACCCTACGGAAATCTGACATCGTAGGTCATTCTGAAAATATTTCTCGATTTTTGTCATACAACACAAAACTTGTCGAGTTCAAATGACTATTGATAAAGATGGCAAATGAATATTGGCCTGGGGGCCCAAATCTGATTATTGAAAACGTCTAATTAAATTTAAATTATGCGGATCTTAGCGGCGACCATGATCATACTTTTCTACTTTTTAATCTAATCTATCGTATATCATTCAATGCCTTGTTACTTACTGTATCTTAGTACTGATATTTTCACGCTGAAATACTGAGACGTCACTCAATATAACGATACCTAGTTCTGTCAAAATACCAGAGATGGCACGATATTTGAGTTCAATTTAAAAATAGTAGTCTTTCAGTAATGATGCATCAGTCTGGTTAGTGAGAGCTGTAGAAGTCCAAAACTTGTCATAAACAGTATATGAGTTACTTATTTGTTAAACTTGCTAGTCACATCAAGTCGTACAAACATAGTTTGTTACAACACGTTACCATTAATTTAATATTATTATAATGCACTATTGAATATAATATAATCATGTTATAGCTTACATGTTCTTTGATTTAATAAATAAAGTGTTTTAAACATTATTTTTGTGGTTATTATTTATCTCCCTCTATTGCTAAAACACTCGATACAGCGTTATAGTAATAAGTGGTGGCGCGACCACCGTGGATGAGCGACCAGTAACATTAACAGTAACATTCTATGCTGGCGTCTGAACTAGTTGCTCAAGCGCTAAGCGCATCAACAGCTGTAGCCAAATGCCAAATTATATGGAATTGACGTAAATTTTGACACTTGTCAGTGCCATCCCCACACATTTAGTTTTCTACTCTCTCTCTGTAAACAAACGCTAAAGTGGCGTTTGGCTAAAGGCCCAGTGCCTTTTTTTGCCTTATATTTTGGTTTTCTATTCTACATGTAGACAAGCGCTAAATGGCATTTAGCTTCAGCTGCAGGAGAGTAACTACCTATAGAGCTGCATACAGTTTGTTGGTGGCAGCGACTGGTAGCGCTACCATGGTGTCCCGGTAAAATATAGCCCTAAGGAAGGTGACTAGAAGCAGAAAAAAACAAAATTGAATTAAATACTCTTTATTTCAAACATCAAATAGCATCTGTACATTCTATACAAATTGAGACTTTCATTTATTACATTTAAAGTTGTTTTTGCATTGCCACGATTGAAGAATAAATGGCAATGCAAGAGACAACCAGTAACTAATTAATAAATAGAGATATTACGCAACAAAACCATTACTAAGGCACTAAAGGTGATACAACGTTCGTAGTTGAAATATTATGTTTGAAAACCTCAGAATTACTAAGTACAATCGATAAAGAAACCACTGTCTGATGATAATGATGACAAGCTAAAATATGCTCTATAAAAATTGAGTTAAAATTACATTTCCAGCGCTGTGTATAATCATGTTTATTTTACATAGGAAGGGTTCCATGTCACTTAATACCACCCAATTTACGAGAACACTTCTTATTATCATCAAGATGTGAATTTAAAACATGGAAAGTACCAGTATGACGTTTCCCATTGGATTCTCGACTTTATAACCAAACAATAAAGTTAAAAATCTAATTTAGTAAATTGGCAAAAAAGAGTCGATTCATCTGCTGAACAGTGTACTTACTTTTCATTTAATACAAAAAGAAAGTAACAAAAATAATTATACATACAAACTTCACGCCTGTCTCCCATGGGGGTAGGCAGAGACTATGGATCGCCATTTAAATAATAAAATGATTATTTTTAACCAATAAATCTAAGGTTTTCTTACAAATATCGTGTATATCTTAAACTAATGCTTACGTACACAGTATTACGTGTGAAGTTAGCTTTCGACTACATTTTGTAACCTTTAGTACGAAGGAAAGATAATT